AAACCTATAGGACACAATGAAGGTGGTCCTAAGAAGCAAGTTCATAGTGCTAAGTGCCTACATAAAAAAAAAAAAAACTGGAGGTATCTCATATTAGTAACTTATTAGTAACATCTGAAAACTCTAAAAAAAAAAAAGAAGAAGAAATAATTGCTAGCAGTGGTGGTGCACACTTTTAATCCCAGCACTCAGGAGGCAGAGGAAGGTGGATCTCTGAGTTTGAGGTCAGCCTGGTTTATAGAGTGAGTTCCAGGGCAGCCAGGGCTATACAGAAAAAGCCTGTCTCAAAAAAAGGAAAAAGGGGGCTGGAGAGATGACTCAGAGGTTAAGAGCACTGACTGCTTTTCCAGAGGTCCTGAGTTCAATTCCCAGCAACCACATGGTGGCTCACAACCATCCGTTATGAGATCTGGTGCCCTCTTCTGGTGTGCAGATATACATGGAAGCAGAATGTTGGATACATAATAAATAAAATCTTTAAAAAAAAATAAAAAAGGGAAAAGGAAGAGGAATAATAACCAAAAAATAGATGAGAAGAAATAATCAAACTCAGGTTGAAATCAACAAAACAGAAACAAACAAAAACAATACCAAGAATCATAAAACAAAAAGTTGGCTAAGAGAGACATGCATGATACCCCAGAGAAGAAGAATCTTACAGGATCTCCTGAGCAAATTGGGAGTATGGGGGTGGGGGAGAGGGGGAGGGGAGTGGGGAGTAATAGAGAGGAAGAAGAGGAGGGGAGAGGAGGACATGGGGGAGCAGGAAGGTTGAGTCAGGGGAAGAATAGAAGAGAGCAAGATAAGAGATATTATAATAGAGGGAGCCATTAAAGGTTTAAAGAGAAATCTTGCACTAGGGATATTTCCAGAGATCTACAAGGATGACACCAACTGGCATCTAAGCAATAGTGGAGAGGCTACCTTAAATGCCCTTTCTTGATCATGAGATTGATGAAGGCCATCCTAGAGCCTTCATCCAGTGGTTGATGGAAGCAGAGGCAGACACCCACAGCTAAACACTGAACTGAACTCCTTGAACCCAGTTGCAGAGAGGGACGAATGAGCAATGAGTCCAATGAGCAATGGGGGTCAAGACCAGAAACAGCTGACCTGAACAAGGGGGAGCTCTTGGTCTCCAGACTGATAGCTGGAAAACCAGCATGGGACTGATCCAGGCCCCATGAACGTGGGTGTCAGTGAGGAGGCCTCAACAATCTATGGGGCCTCGGGTAGTAGACCAGTATTTATCCCTGGCATACAAATGGACTTTGGGAGCCCATTCCACATGGAGTGATGCTGTCTCAGTCTGGACACGTGGGGGAGGACCTAAGCCCTGCCTGGGATGAAATGACAGACTTTGGATATCCCCCATGGAGGGCCTCACCCTCCCTGGGGAGCAGAGGGGGGATGGGGTGGGGGCTTGAGGGGGCTGGTGGGGGGTGGAGGAGGAGGGGAGGGAGAGGGAGCTGGGATTGACATGTGAAGCAAGTTTGTTACTAATTTTAAAAAAATAATGCTTGAACAAAAAGAAAGAAAGAAAGAAAGAAAGAAAGAAAGAAAGAAAGAAAGAAAACCAACAAACTTTTAGCCAAATTAACCAAAAGATGGAAGAGCCAAATTAACAAAATTAGAGAGGAAAAGAGAGAGAATACAATACACAGCAAAGGAATTCAGAGAATCATAAAGACATATTCCACCAAACTGGAAAACCTAAAAGAAACTGATTAATTTTTTGAAATATATGACTTACCAAAGTTAAATAAAGATGAAATAAACTAAACTAGGTCTGTAAGCCCTAGTTATGAGATTGGATTTAAGGCCTGCTGATTGGATTTAAGTCCTGCTCCATGAGATGGGACCCATACAGGACACTGCTAAAGTGGCCAAGCACCTGAGACCAAATATGTTATAGGTCTAGGAGGAAAACGACTACTATTATTCTGCTAAAGGAGCCTAGCAATAAAATGACTCCTAATGACATATTACTATACCCATAAATCAGTGCATCTCATCTCCATCAGAGACACTTCTCGCTGTAGATGTGAATTAACATAGAGAACAACTGGACAATGTGTAAACAGTGAGAGACTTCAGAGCACTTAGCCCTAAATGGGATGTCAAAATCTTCCCCTCAAGGCTCAGGCATCTATTTGGAAGAGGAGGTGGGAAGAATATAAGAGAGCCAGTGAATGACTCCAACAAAACAGTGTCTTTCAGATTAAAACACGACTCATACAAACTCACAGAGACTGAGACACCATTCATAGGGCCTGCAAAGGTTCAAGCCAGACAAAATCCTAGCACTGAGTGAAAGACCCCCGAAGGGATACTTTTGTAGAGGGAGACTCACACCCAGGAATCAGCGAGGCCACGAACTGGATGTAAAAACAAGAGGCTTTATTGGAGACGCGGGTACCCGGGGCGACTTAGCTTTTCTGAGGCCAAGCGCGCCGAGCCAAGGGAAAGGGGTCCTTATATAGGGAAAAAGGCGCAAGCTAGGAGCAGGGATTCTATTTGATGTTCAAATGAGGCACAGAGCCATTCCAGATCAGCATATTCTCAAGGTCTGGTGTCTGGTACAACAGACTTGATTCCTCCCTCCGCGCCCAGGTGGCTGACCTTGGGGGC